TTTGCGAATAGACCAATACTCCCCCTGCAGTGGGGGGGGGGGTGCGGGGGCAGGGAGGGAAAGTCCTGAAATCACGAGTGCTTTAATTGTAGAAAAGGGCTTTTGCACTGCAATGACAGCATCTAATACAACATAAAGGAGGTGTCTGGAGCCCAACCAAAGACCTATTATTAAGACCTATTATTAATGGTAAGACACAGTAAGATTTGTCTATGTTATGACACCGGTATATACACCTGCCTACCCATATACAATTTTTTTTAAATGTAGTCCACATACATTTGGACAGATAAGATTGTCCAAAGAAAAGACTGATTGAGTTTTAAATCTCTTCATCTAAATAATCTAAAAATAATGAGTTAGGCAGTGAATTAAAGTGATTAGCAAAATCTTTCCTTGGATAAAACAAAGTGACAGCATAATTGTGTTGAATTTTCTTAATTCAGTATTTCTAAATTTAATTACATTGCTTAACATTATCTGAAATCTTCTATACATGATCAATCCCCAGTTAACAAACTTATACTTGATCTACTTTCTGCATAGGCCAACTTATATACAGTATTCTTTTACCCATTCTTATTTTGGGTTTATTAATAAGTTATTCAAATCACTTAAATTATTACATTTTAGGACATATCTCAGATTCCCCACACCTATGTCAGAATGTTGACTAAGCAAACAAGGGAACCAACATTTGATTTTTCTGTTTCAACATGTACTGAAATACACATTATAATTTGCTAAAAAATTACTTTCAGTTATGAGAAAGATTTGTAAGTTAGCAAATCTAGAATGAGAAGCAATACACCAAATGATGAAAGAAACCGGCCTCAGTAATACAGATGTCTATTTTATTAAAAAAGTTACAAACAGGTGGACTGCAGGGTCGTCTTACAAAATGACAAGAATGAAATCTATTGGAAAAATTTTACTTTTACAAATCTTTATAGGTAATTGTTCAATGTTTGTACTTGTTATTCGCGATTTGACCTCTCACGGATAAAGTTACAGTACATTAGATGGATGATAATAGATTACATGATTTTATTTGCAGAGCCCTACTGCAGTGATTTGAACAACTCCTAAACAGATGCCATAGTAAAGACAAGACATATATTGCATTTAATATTAATTTATTATCCTAATAAGCAACATGCAATCTATTGAGGAAGCTAAAATAACTTTTGGTCCCTTTTCTTAAAATGTGCTGGAGAAACCATCTTTAAAAATCACTTTCCCCTGATTCCTGTGATCCTAAGTGAATTCAAGTTAAATTTGCTGCTGAGGTCAATGACAATGAACACTGTAATTGAGAGAGAGAGACAGAGAGACAGAGAGGAGAGGGAGAGAATACTGTAGGAAAGAAACACTGTCTAAAAAATGAATAATCTGCAGAAAATTTAAATCATCATGAATTATTTGATTCCTTTAGAATTTTACACAGCTAGTAAAGATGAACCACTATCACGTCACCTACTTTGAAATGAGTGTTTGGTTTTAAGTTTGGTATTAAAGTGCAAACTTAAATATTCATTTTAAGCAGTTTATAAATAAGGAACAATGTTTCAATTGCCTCTACCCTTACAATCTCACTATAAAATCCAAATGTTAAGAACCAGAGTTCACTTTGAGGGAATTTTATCAGGAATCAAATGCAACACGATTTAAAAAAAGGAAATCAAAGTTTAATCAATTTCTACTCAATAATTAATGGCCATGCTGACCAATAAATCACATGAATGTAGATATCACTTTATTTGAACATCACACACAATATAAATTTTAAATTGCCACACCCTTCCATAAACCATCACTGCATATATTAGAGCTTTCCTTGACAAAGTTATTGAGCTATTCGTATAGATCAAAAGTATAGTTTTGGTTTGTTTTGTTTTGTTTTATTTAGAAGCATGTTCAAATGACTAAAGCTGGGCTCCTAAAATCGAGAACTTTGGTGCAGTAGGTGAGCTGCAGTTACTAACTTCTGCAAATTAAAAGCACACAACTAAAGTCAAATTAAAACGACAAAAAATACTGTCAAACTTACATAATTTAAAGATCATTGCTAGAAAAAGCGCTCCTCGTGATGTTAAAACTGAACCAAAACGTTACTCATTCTAGAAGTTTCCTTTCTGTTTCTATACCTGTGTTACTGTTAAAATGTTCAAGTATTCAGACAAAATGTGCTGATTAGGTAAACAACATGGAAGGCAATGGCTATTAGAAAGCACATTTGCAAAAATAAAAAATAGCCCAGAGACTTGGTGCTATCCTCCCTCCTGTTACACAGATTTTGTCTCTACTACGAACATGCTTCTTGCAAAATAACTAAAAAGCAATTGTGATAGTGCAAGAAAACTTTAACAAATATTGCTTTAAACTATTATTCAGAAAGACAAATAGTAAGAACTAGAAAGTATATATGATTTTATTTGAATTCAATTTTACATGTGCAGAAGTCTACTAGATGTCAATTACAAGCCTGACAGGCAAAGCTGAGCTATCTCTGTTTAGGTATACAATTAATTTACCATGGATACAATATCCCTTTTCAAAGGCATTGCTAAGTAGGTCATAACTAAATTTAGAACTTCACAGAAAGGAAAATGTTACTGCCGCAATTCGCAATTTGATGCTGTAAATGAGATTAACACATGTGAAAACCTAATGGAATTGAATGCTTAACTCTTCAACTAAATGGTCTACAGTCAATTTCAAATATCAATTGTCACTTTCAGAACATGTTAGTTAATTACAAAAACACATCACAAACTGCCCTTGAAGAAAAGGGATATTCCATCCATACAGGTAAAATGTGATCTTTAGTTACTTTTTACAACACTGCCACACGTAAACAAAGTCTCAAAGTATTAACCAACCATTTAAAGGAGAAAGATTTTACAAATAGGATGAAGCACTGGTACGAGGTAATATACAGAAGTAACCATTTGTTTAAGGCTCAATTTTTTTCTCCATTATAACTTTCTTTTAAAAGGCATTGAGTAGGTAATACTGAGTTTGAGTATTTAATAAATACAAGTTGAGAAACTGATTAAAGAAATCAATTAAAATATTAAAAATTAACCCTTGCATATTAGCCATCAATAAGAACTTAGAAAGCTATAAAAGGACTGATTGATAAAGAACAGATTTTAAACGTATGGTAAACGTGCTAAGCATTCCCATTTAAGGTCGATGGATCTTGAAGGCCAAAGACCTTATGCACTTAAGTAGATGTATGGCAACATGCTGTAATAGAGACAGGTTTACCAAGGCTCAGTTCTGCAACCCAGGTTGTAAAGTTCTCCAAAGCAGCATCTGTGCAAATTTCCTCTGAGTTTTATCTGCAATTAAGATTTTAAAAAGTCATAAAAATATAGAAATAGAGATTACAGTTTTAAAAGAGAACACTGACAACAGATGTATATACACACAGAAATGGAAATAAGAGTAACAATATAGCACA